TCCTGCAGGCTGATCAGGACTGCTTGAAGGAAGAAGGAAGCAGTGTTCCACAAATATTCAGGACACCCCTGAGCTGGGTTCACAAGCCCCTGGGGTAGAAGACGTCACAGAAAGGGAGTCTAATCAAGGCTTCTAATTTCACATGGATGGGCCACTCCTGGCCACTCGCAGGACCTGGATTTGGAGGCAGATGATGGCTTGTCTAGCAGGAAGGCCATAGGTAACAAGGCTCCCTCGACTTGGTGAGGAACCTCTTTACTCCAGCCTCATCTAACCCATTTGCCTCTCAAATTCTGACTAAGAGTGATGTAGACTTGGGTAAGGCTCTCAGGACCCATCCTGCTGTGTGAAAGGAAGCAGAGATGCCAACACCCTAGTTAAGAGGCATCTCTTCTGGGTTGAGAAGATCAAGGCTGGATCTGGTGGGGGCCTCTGGATTTCCCAGTGCACAAGCCCACCGGCTGCAGCAGTTCTGCAGCAGGCAACAGCCCTGGAGCATCTTCCTGCAAAGATCTGCCCAAGGGCAAGCAAGTCCTTGCTTTGTGCGGTGCAGCCACCACCTTTCCCAAGTTACCACATGATAATTATAAAATCACCTGTGAGTGCCTACAGACAACACACTTCCCAGCTCTGAGAATGATTCAGAGGAAGCAATTTTCCAAAGTGAAGATAATCATCGGTTAGTGTGAAAAGGCAGACACTCTTTTATTAGCATTGGAAACTCAAGGGAAACGTTACTAAATCCATAAATGCAGCACTTCAGTAAATGGCTCAGGAACAATATCCACAGCTAGAAGGAAGGACTTGTACAGATTCCACTCCCACTCAGAGTTCTCCCCCAGAACCAGCTCTCTTGGAGGGAAGAGAGCTCTCCATGTACTTAATAAGCTCCCCATGTACTTAATAAGCAGCTCCTCTAAGTCCAGGTCCCTGCGCCCACACAGGGAATCCCAGGATTCAGAGCTCCCCGGTCTTCTTTTATCTACTTTTCTGAAGAGACCTCAACCAGGCTCATGTTTTTATTCTGTGACATTAAAATTCATATTCCAGCCCTGACCCCTCCTGGCTTCATAGAACCAATTACCTATTTGAACTCTCCATTCAGATGTCTAATAGGCATCTCCTACTTAGCATGGCCAAAACTGAACTGTCGCTCTTCTTTTCCAGTGTCTTATTACTGCATAAGAAATCACCCAGGGCCGGCTCCGTGGCTTAGCGGTTAAGTGCGCGCGCTCTGATGCTGGCGGCCCGGGTTCGGATCCCGGGCGCGCCCCGAGGCACCACTTCTCCGTCCAACGCGAGGCCGAGTCCCACGTACAGCAACTAGAAGGATGTGAACCTATGACATACAACTATCTACTGGGGCTTTGGGGG